AAAACGAGCAGGTGTACCATCGTGGTGCCCGATAGCATATTATTTAAAATCCCTGAATTACTGTGGAGGAACAGCCACAAGCTGTGCAACCACCACCGGTTCAAGGGAATACAATCCATCAGAATGAGAAGCCAAGGACCGGAGATAAAAATCCGTGAAGGTAGTCTGTCCGCGCCAGAAAGCCGCAGACTTGACCTCCAGAAAGGGGAACCCATTGAGGAGGGACCATGGCGCAGCGAGGGTCCTGATCTCATGAGCTCTCACCTTATACAACGTACGAACCTGATCATCTGAGTGGTCGTAACCGTACTTGATGACCTGACAGATCCATCTAGACACTGAATGAGAGGAGATATTCTGCTGACCCTGCTTAATTGGCAAAAGAGACGAAATTGAGGCCCCGCCCCCTGGTTTTATCGAGGTACAACCTAAGCGCCCGACAGGGACAGAGCAACCTTTCCCGTTCCTCATACCCAACGAAGGAAGTCAAAGACGGAATCTTAATAGGATCGGGCGAGAAGCCAGGAACCTGATTCTTAGCCATGAAGGCAGAATCAGTGAGAAGGGTAACGGCAGAGTAATTCCTGGACCACCGGAGGAAAGAGGGGAGAGAAGACAAGGCATTCATCTCACTCTCCATCGACCTGAGACCAGGGCAATAAGGAATACCACATTGTAGGTAGCAAACGTCAAGGAGGCAGACGCTAAAGGCTCATAAGGTGCCCGCATCAGCGATTCGAGCACCAGTGGCAAAATCCACTGCGGAGCCAACTGCCGGACCCTAGGCCTGTCCACCCCAAACCCCAAAATCAAGGCAGAAAGAGAGAACACTAGCAATGGCCGTGCGATAACCAGCCATAGTGCCAGGGGCAAGATTGTGGTCCCTAAACAGCCAAAGAAGGAAGTTCGCAATCACCTTGACAGTAGCCTTGATCGGATCAACCTTCCTGCCGACACACCAATCACAGTAAATCTTCCATCGTGACTGATAGACGGCAGATGAGGAAGACCTAATTGATCGAGCGATGCGATCTAGCACGTCCATAGAAAAGCCCGCCTGAACGAGACCTCCTGAGATAGCTTCCACGCGTGAAGGTTGAGGATTTCCGGACGAGAGTGCATCGTCTTGGACCGAGGGTGGTGAAGGAGGTTCGCTCTGAGAACCGGAGAGCCAAACGTTGGCAACTGATTGTTCAGTGAAGTGGCGAACAGGTCTATGTAATGCCTGTCCCACACCTGGCAAATTCCCTCGAAAATCGAAGGATTCAGTTGCCACTCTGTCAAAACCGGCTGGCGGCGTCTGGAAAGAGTATCCACTAGAACATTCAACCTGCCTGGTAGATACTTGACACAAATTGTCAACTGCATTTCCTGACAAAGAAGAATGCGGATAGCGAGGACACACAGGGTGTAATACCTGGTTCCCCATGTCTCTCCAGATACGCGACAACTGTAGTGTTGTCCGTAGCCACACAAACCACCTTGGAATGCAGGAGACTGCAGAGCCAACAGAACAGCCCTCATCTCATCCGAGAGCTGTTCTCCAGACTACTCCCCCGACCGGCAATGCCCGTCGAGGTAAGCTCCCCACCCTGGCATTGATGCATCCGTGTACAGGGTCATAGTGGGAACCGGCTTGAACAAAGGAACCCCTCGCAGAACATTGTCCTGATGAGTCCACCAGCGTGTGAACTCCTTGGCCGACTGGTTCAGAGGAAGACAGGCCTCCCTATCCCTTGAAGAAGGGACCCAGTTGGCAAGGTGAAACATCTGGAGAGGCCTGATATGAAGTCTCCCTAAGGGGACCACATCGGCCAGGGCGTTGAGATATCCCGGAAAACTGAGAAACCAACGTACCTGGACTTGAGACCGGCCGATGAAGGTCAGAGAAAAAGCCCTAACCCTACCAGAAAAACAAAATAGTGAGATGGGGAAACCTCTGACTTTTCTCTGGAAGGAATGAAGCCGACCTTGAGTAAGATTTCTAGAACTTACCGGGTGTCCTGCCCCAGAGACTCGCTAACCAGGTGGAGATGAGGGAATCGTCGAAATAGATGTGAACACCTTTTCGTCGAGAGGGAATGAATCCCATGACAACCTGCAGTAGCTTGGTGAAAACCAAAGGTGCAGTCGTGAGCCCGAACGGCATGGCCTGGAACTGGAAGACATTTCCGTTGCAAGTACAACAGAGGTACTTCAGTGCCGACTTCTTGATTGGGATGTAGAAGTAGGCATCCTTCAGATCTTCTGAAGTAGCCCACATTTTTTCTCTCAGGGACGCGATAATACCCCGAGGAGTCTCCATCTTGAAGTGAGGAGAATCTACGTGCTTGTTGAAGGCACTAAGATCTATGAAGGGACGCCACGCCCCGGACTTCTTTCGAACCAAAAACATTCTGCAGTAGAACCCGGGAGTGCATATCGACATAGGAACCTTGTCGACCGCACCCTTGGTAAGCATGGTCCTTACTTCCACCTGAAGCGCAAGAGCCTTTTCCGGATCCCCAGGTGGAGGAAAAAAGATCGGCTTTGACGCTAATGGCGGATCCCGCACTCGCGGAATGCCTAACCCCTCCTTGACCACAGTCAAGGACCATGCGTTTTCCGTAATTTCCTTCCACTCCGGAAGAATGAAACTCCGGACCGGACCTAATAGGACCGGGTCCGGGAAGCTGACCGGGAGGGTAAGCCTGACCAGCATTGGTGCCGGGATTAGTGAGATGCGCGTCACTCATCCCGGTAGACACAGACAATCCCGAAAGAAAGTCTGTAGTCACACCATGATCTGAACCCGAAAGAACAAGCCCGGCACCAGGACTGTCCCCAACGACAGCACCACCTGGAATGTCGGGATCACTGACAGAGTCTGTGACCGGCGGCCGGTAGTCCCTACCCAAAGCGCGAAAGCTTACGGGCGTTCCCGGCCGGGCTGCCCCTCCCCTACTCCAGGGAGTTCATTAACAAGAAGGGCCACCCCCTGCTCACGAGAGCGACTCGCCGAAGCGAGACCCCCGAGACAGGAACAGAGACAGTACCACCAGACCCTAGAGAGCTGGTGCCACCACCCCTACCTCTCTGCTTTCCTCGCTTACCGGAAAAAGCAGACGAATCTCTCTTACGGCAAGCCGAGGGTCGCTTGGGGATAATGAAGGCCTTGTCCTGAGATTCAGTCTGTGAACAAAGTTCACAAGGGGAAACCTCACTGCAAGGACGACACTTGGGACAAGGATCATGAGGGTCCCGTTCCATGAAGAATGGGAACACCCATGAGCTGTCCCCCGTCGCTGTCCCGACCGAGACATACCCTCCAAAGCGAAAGTAAACAAAGTTTACAAGCAGACAAACAAGGAAAAAATATTTAAAATACGATAATACAAAGTACGCAAAGTAGAGAGAATTCCACCCGTAATATAAATCCGAAACGGTTAAAATAAATAACGTTTACCGAAACAAACAACCGTCACTGAAATAAACAGAGGTTGGAGTTTTTCACACAATAATGGCGGACCGCGTGGCACACCACCGGCACACGTGGAGTAAAAAAACCGGCTGTAAAAGCCACAAAAATAATTTTCAACAATAAATAAGTATAGTAATAATGGCAGATAGGTATAAAGCACACAAACTGCGCAATAAATTCAGTTGACACTCAAACCAAACCGACAAAACAAGGTTTTGATATGGAGCAAGTTCTGGGCCGTCAGCAGGCAGTATGCGCCATAAAAGGAAGAGGAAAGGAGATCACTCCATGGCTCTGTTGTCGAGATATGGGTTACGTCACGGTAGGGAGGTCGGGATTTTTGAATATTTTGTTTTTGGGCTACAAAGATTGGTGTAGGTATTGTATATGCATACTAAAGTTATGGTAATAATTACTGAAATGAAATGACATTTACCTATACCCCATACAAAACACTACATGTTCTCACTCAGGTAATCTGGCTGACCTGTATCAATTACTTTGTAAGCTTCATGAATTATTGTA